CTGTTAAATCTTGTATTTTATCTAGTTTGGCAAGGAAAATAAATTATAATTCCTATGAATGCCTATTTTGGTTACCAACTGTCCTCATCTTGATTATTTACAATCAAATATGTCATGTAATATACATTATAGCATGAGGTGCCATTTTTAAAATTCTTTCTCAGGAGAATGTTATTATTGCATACACAAAGAGGATAATTTAACATTGAAGGCAAAGATCCCAAACTACTAAAAGAGTAAATCTTAGTATATTTGTTATTCTAAATTAAGTCCATATGATTCCATACCTCTAATATTTAGCACCGTGTTTTTGCACATTGTACCACTCAACAAATATCTGATGAATCATTATTGCAGTGCTATATTCCCTATATCAAAGGTTTCAAACACACAGCCCACAACACAGCTGAGTGCAACCCAAGCCATTTATTTGACGAACTAAATGAAATACAGTAAAACCTAGATAATATTACATTTTAAAACTAAGTCAATATTCAGCCCACAGGGATCCTTATCTAATGGATTAGTGGTGCCTGCTTCTATTTGAGTTTGACAGTACTACCCTACATCATATGCCAATGTCATATTCCCTCTGTCAGACAGATAAGGGTTTGGGAAATAGATCACAAGCCTGACATAGAGGCATGATACATTAGTGATGTGGGACTTCATTTATAAATCCAACAACCCCCATCTCTCTGTCTCTCTGTTTCTCTGTCTGTCTCTGTCTCTCTCCACCCCTTTCTGTTTCCCTCCCTCCCTCTGACAAAAGCAGTAAATAACTTCTTCATTTGCCTTTGTGTTGTCTCCTTTAAAGTGTGAAGGAGCCAGTAAGTAGAAATTCTATTCTGTGTATGATCTCATTAACAGAGAAAAATTAGTTGCCAGTGTCGAAATGATGAGATCTTGCCTGCACTATTGCAATAGCCTTCTCATTGGTTTCCTTGTTTCAACTCTCTCCTCACTCCAATCTATCTTCCACTCAGTTGTCAAATGGATTTTTCTAAAACTTAGATGTGAACATGTCATCCCACATGCACGCATAAACACACACACATTCAATACATGCTCCCTATTATTTCCAAGATCAAATATAATTTCTCCATTCAGCATTTAAACCCTTCACAACCTTTCTACTTTTCCAGTCTTCTCACACTTTCCTCCCCTCTCTGAATCCTATGATTCAGTCACCCTGGCCTTCACTCTTTTCTTCATACACACCTTCCAACTCCTGATTCTGTGCCTTTTCCCATGCATAATATTCTCTCTCTCTCCTCACCTCTGCCTCCTAGCTTTTTTGGCCTCTTTTAAGAGTTAACTCGAATTTTACCTTCTATATATTGTGAGTGCCTTCCTTCTGAGATTAGTCAGTCAATAAACATTTATTAAGCATCTTCTATGTGCCAGGCACTGTGCTAATTGTTGAAGATACAAAAAAAAAGCAAAAACAAACTCTGTTTTCAAGGAGATCACAGCCTAATGGAGGAGACGACACATAGCTATGTACAAACTATATGCAAGATAATTGGAAATATCAGAGGAAAACAGAGGGAAAATTGGGAGATGAATTGTCATGTTCAAGGAAATAGTAAGGAGACCAGTATCATGGGATCACCAAGTATTGTGGGGGAGGATTGGGGCAGGGGAGTGTAAGATGTAAGAAAGCTGGAAAGGTTAGAGGGGAAGATTATAAAAGGCTTTGAATACCAAACAAGGAATTTTATATTTGATCCTGGAGGTGACAGGGAGCCATGTGGTCAGAAATGCACTTTGGGACATTGACAACTAAATAAAGGATGGACTAGAGTGGGGCAAAACTGGTAACAGGGAGACCAACCAGCAAGTTGTTGCAATAGTCCAATTTTGAGTTGATGATCATGTCTGTACAAGAGTAATAGCAGTGTCAGCAGTGCCTGGCACATAATAATACAATAATAAACAATAAATACTTGTTGACTGACTGGGATTACAAAGCTAGATAAATCACACATCTTCTTCTTAAGGTGCTTACACCCTATAACAGTGATAGAAGGTAGTGAGGACAAAGAATGAACCCAATTGAAACTTTTTTTATATTATGAAATATCTATGTATTTATTTACATCATTGTAAAGTAGGAGTAACTGAATCAGGGAATCAATCACCCCAGCTCTCCACTTCTTCCCCTCAGTAACAAGAAATTATAGCCCTAATACCTTATTTAGGGAGAAGAATCTGTGTACTTTTGCCTTACCTTGCCTTGGCCTAGGCCTCCGTGACACATTGCCTACGATACCCCTATTCTCACATCTTCACTCCACTACCAACTTGGACTCCAGGTTCCCTGGCTCTGATAGGTGAATTTTTGCCTTTTCTTCCCATGGCCCAGTCCTCCATAACACTTTTCCATCATCTATTCCACCATGATCCCAGGGTAAAAACATTCTTGCCCCACCCCCCTTTCCAGCATCTCTTTATGTTATTTTCTTCTTTTAGTATTTAAGCTCCTTAAGGGCGAGGACTGTATTATTTGCTTGTATTTGTATCTCTAGCTCTTGGCATAGTGCCTGGCCCATAGAAAGTGCTAAGTAAATTATATCTATCAATCAGTCTATCTTTACCATCTGTCTACTTATCTATCTATTTATCTAGCCTCTCTGTGAATCAAGGTCATTAAAACTAGGTGTGAATGACTTAGTTAATCATGGTGGGATATGGTGGAATGCTTTAAGTCATTGAATGAAATGAAATGAAATGATGCTACACAGGAAATATGTTGGGATTAGTTGAGGAGACTCAGTCATGCGCTATGAGGTTTGTATAACATAGGGAGCCCATTCAGACTTAGCATCTGAATGGTGGGTCAGAGAAGAGAGCAATCTATTCTCTCAGAGAATTGCTTGGGGGAAGGGGAGGCGGGAAGTAAAAGCCTCTTTTTTCTTCTACCAACATTGACCAGAGGATGACCTTGTGAACTTTGAAGGGTCAAAACACTTCCCATTGACATCCCAGCAGTGTCCCCAGAACAGGAGTGGCTAGTGGCCGCCTAGGAGAAACTAGAGAGAACTCTTAACACCCTTCACTGTCCTTTCCACCCCACTCCACTGCATTCTGTCCTACCCAATCCCTTCCCCTACTTATAGAAATAGCTTTATATGCTTTGGCATCTCTATAGCTGGCCGGTTCCAGCTGGACAATAGTGCTATTTCCTCTACCTTTCCGCCTCCTCCCCTTCTCCTATTCTCCCTCTGTCCATGTGGGGAGTCATACATTCACATGTGGGTGCTCTGTTCAAAGGAATATAAATGTTGATCACTTATACTTCAAAGATATATTGGGGTTTGGGGGCTAGATTTTTTTTTCTTCCCTACTTGTTCTGCCTTTTTTTGCCGTTGTTTTTAAACTGGAACAACTAACTCTTTTGTCCCATGTAGATTTCATCCATGATTTCTTGAAATATAGACCTGAAAAAACAGGCTTGATAAAGCTCATTGGGATTTAAATGGAGCTACTTAACTATGTCTTTAAAATTAAAATTTTAAATTAAATTTAAAAATTTGGGAAAATTTAAAATTGTCTCAGCTTCTTACTCTGTCAATTGGAGATAACGATAGCACTTCCAGGGCTTAGGACTGTGCTTGGCATATAGTAAGTATTTAATATATGCTAATCAATAACTGATACTGAAGGAATTTACATCCCACTGGTAGATAAAGAGGCTGGGGTGAGAAAAGATAAACATGTATACAGTTAAGTGAGTGTAAGGGAATTTTTGAAGGGACACCCCACTAATAACTGGAAGAATAAAATAAACTATTCAGAGGGGCTATGTTGAGCTGAACATTAAAGGAAGGTAGATAATGAAAGGCAAAGGAGGGGACAGCTATATATTTGGTATCAGAAATAGCTTGTACAAATTAATGGTGGTGGTAGGTAGAATATCAAATTCTGGGAACAACATGAAAGTACAATTTGGGTAGAAAGTAACTTATTAGACAGCTTAATCAGATATTCCCTCCCCTGTCCAAACACATGGTATTTGAAAGTGCCTTACATCCATTTTTTTTTCAGACTTCCATCTGTATTTGGAGGAACTGGGTCCATAAATAGTTGATATCATGGTTAAGTACTACTTAAGATCACAGATCTGATCATAGATCTCATCAGTGGCAGAGCCAAATAGAAACTAAATGTCCTAAGCACAAGTCACAGTATGCTTCTGGATTTTTGTCTTTCTCTAGTTAATTCAATGGGATGAGTATGATACAAATTAGGTCAAAATGTTGGTTTCAATGTTGATTAGTTGTCTGAACTCAATCCCGTTATCACAGAAAGCATGCTTCATTGTAGTTACAAATGAATGTATACCCCAGAAACAGGACAAACCCATTACTGAAACCACAAACTCTAAGTGGAATTTGTGAGCAAGCCATGTTTGAATGATATGAGAAGTTAACAACTGATACCAGCAAGTTTTTAAAAGATTAAATTAGAGGCCAATGGTCTCAAACCCAAATTCTGTGTTTGCCTGTAAAACTAATCTATTTGTGCTAACGCTCTATATATCTTTGTTTTTCTTCACAAGGATTTGTTAGTCACATTAATCTTTCATTCACATATTCATCTTAACAAAGAGAGGAAGGGGGCAGCTAGCTGGCACAGTAGATAGAGCACCGGCCCTGGATTCAGGAGGACCTGAGTTCAAATCTGGCCTCAGACACATAACACTTACTAGCTGTGTGACTCTGGGCAAGTCACTTAACCCCATTGCCTAGCCAAAAAACAACAACAACAACAAAGAGAAGAAGGTTATATAATATAGCTTGAACAATCTTCTTGTAAACAATTTGTAATTTATTTCTCATTTAACCACCTCTAACCTCCTCCCATTTCAAGAAAGAATACAATAGTTTAGGGAGTAGGTTTAAAGAATAATTTTAAGGCAAGTACAAGTTGCCCTCAACTGCCAAATGTTTAGATTGGTCAATTGATAAAGGTTTTATTTTCTTTTTTTTTTTCAGGTACCATGATCAACAAGATGTCACTAGCAACTTCCTTGGAGCAATGTGGTTGATTTCAATAACTTTTCTCTCCATTGGTTATGGTGACATGGTACCTAATACGTATTGTGGAAAAGGAGTCTGTTTACTTACTGGAATTATGGTAAGTGATACTTCCCTCTCTCCACCTCCTTTAAACTCTGTTTTAATTCACTTCTAATAAGAATATATTTAGGTTGTTCTATGCATGGATTAAGTCACTTCAAACTAATTTACTACTTTCTTCCTAACGGAAAACTAACATGTTTGTCTTTTTCGCTCTTTTCATCCTTTTCATTTCAATTCTTCACTTTATGGAGTTCCATGTAAAACATACTATAAGTAGTATCTACCTCAGTCTATACAACGTCACTTCTTTTTAGAGCCAGGACACAGTATGGTTAGCTGAGAAGTTATTAGCTTTTAACAGTTAAGAAGAAAATTTCAAGGATAGAAGCTTACTAAATTGGAAGCACACCTAGTTTGTGCAGTTGTGCTAACATGGGATGTTACATGCGACAATATCATAGTTGAGTGATATATTTTATCACAAACAACTTTAAATTTCTAAACACTTAGAGCATTTAATACTTCGTAACATTTATTTTTAGTTGTCCTGAGTTTTTTAGGGAGCTGGTTCTGTCTCCAAGCTAATTTTATCATGCCTTTCCTTTGGTGGAATTGATTTTAGTGTGTGTTATCATCATAAACATTATTTTTTTCTCGGTAGGTTCCTAAGTATGAAGATGAATGGGAATTTTGAACTCCTTAGGCTCTGGGAATGATAGAGTGACCTATTGTTTGGGCTTTTGAAGTCAGGCATATCACCTCAATATGCCAGGCATGCCTCACTCTGAACTGGGAATGTTCCTTTTCCTGTTTCAGGGCTATATACAGACCAAGATCTAGTTCTCTAAAAAGACCTCCCTCACACCTGGCCCCCAACCTAGATTTTTGCCTATGTGATATCTAACAATGGTGGAAAATACCTTCTTTGACATAATTATGCATTGCTAGACTGAGGCCAAACAGATACCTCATTAGCCATGAAAATATAGCTACGATCAATTATAAGATTGCCAATGGCAACTCGGTGCCTAAATTACTAGTCCTAGTTATAAAATATATGTAATTTCTGTCAGAATTTATTGTTATTTGCATAGTATAAATCTACCTATATTCAGAATTGTGGTGAAAATTATTTATCCTACTTGATTTACATAGAAACTTATTTCTTATATTGTATGTTTAACATGGCGTTATTTCCTTTATTTTCCAAATATAAAATGATGTGATAATGTTGATAATGATAACATTTACATAAAAGTCTTCCTAGAAAGTCACATAACAAGATGTTATTTATTAAAATACCTCACAATTATAGGCTGTTTTTCTACCAGCCTTCTAATTAGAAGGTTCCTCTGGGTCCTTTATGGAAAAGTGTTCCTTCATCTCTAGTCTTGAATCATGTCTGAGTATGGGCTAATATACAGTGACTTACGTATTGTTGGATAAAAGCTAAATCCAAGGTTAATCTTTCTTGCATGACTAACAACTGTACATTGATCTTTCCTTGGTTTTTCTTTGTCCTGAATTCAACTGTACTCCACCAATTCTATTTCCTTTCTCAACAGACTTCTTATTTTGACATTTTTGACTCCATGATCAAGTTTCATTGTAGAATGTAAACTTTAAAATTTGAAATCCATTGTCATCAGCATGTAAATTTTTATTAAATGCCTGTCACATGTAATGTAGCATAATACATTCTGATTAAACTGCATGAACTAAGGGAAACATTAAATATAAAAAATAAATACTATATGAAAATAAAGCAATGCAGCTCCTCCTTTCTAACCTTGTATTCTCAAATACCAAATTCAGGCTGACATAAATTAGCCTTTATGTCCCATCCCACACTTCTATCCTGCTCAAAGACTTTGTCTAATTGATGTCTAATTGTCTATTACATATCTTGAGTAAATATATCTGAAGAGGGTTTACTTATTTGTGGAAAATTCCACTCATCCTTTATGAATGGTACAGTTTATACTACATGTAGCTATTAGACTGTTTCTATACAGTTGGCTAGACAAATTTATCTGATGCTGGGTCACAAGGTAGAATTTTGAGGGAAGTGATCTTAGGATGATATTCATTTATTCCATTCAATAAACCAGCTTCTATGTTATGTGTATATGTCATGTGATGTCTCCATGAATTTGGACAAAGAGTAGACATTGTTCTCTAAAAGACCAATATAGTAAACATTTGCCTGTACTGTGCAAAACAAGTCAATCCATCTTTAAGAGCCCACTTACAATAACTTTTAATGACCAAGTGTGATAGGAGCCACCTGTCTCCATGCAAAGCCAGGTTTTCCTTAATAGGTATTGAGACCATCCTTCAAACCTAAAGGCCCAAGCTGTTGACATTAGTTGAATACAAAATAGCCATGAGTAGCTGCAGTAGCTCTTTGATGCTTGGCTGGTGGAAAATGGTGGATACTCAAGCAAGAGATCTTCACTCACGTGAATCAAATGGAGGGATCCTCAGTGCCTATCTTTGTTGCATACCCTTTTCTATGGCTAAATCAATTTCCTTTAATTAACTATTGAATGACCCACAAGCATCTCATTTTGTTCCAGTACCAAAACCCAAACTTGGTCTGAGGCTAGCCCTGTCCAGAACAATAGGACAGAATACAGCAGAACCATCACTTCTTAACTCTCAACTGTCTTTCGAGACAGTATCCACAAGTCTGAAATATTTTTTGCTCATCAAAAATCTCCTCAAAAGTGCTATTTGATTTCTTTTAAATTATCCAATCAAGACATGATTTGTTTTTATGTCAGGTGGTTATTTTACTTATTAAGAAATAGACTTCCATTCTTCGGTTGTTTGTTTTCTTATGACTGGATCTCCCCATCTCACGCAAACTGGAAATTAAGTAGCCACTCATGGGCCTGATCCTTGGCCTGATCCCATCACCTATCATACCAGGAGCTTTAACCTGCTGAGTTATTGCCATTTGAGCTGGTGACCCTTGGCTCCCCACCCACACCATATTGGTCTAGGACTTAATATGGATACTCTATTGGCTTTTGTCCAACTGAAGCTCAGAATTCCTGATCAGCTTCATTCTCCCCCAGCCTCAGAGACTACAGGCATGTCCCAGGCATACTCAGCCACTGTGTGTGTTTGAATAAGTGAACATAGTACATTCTTTCTCTCCCTTCTGCAGTTTTATGAAGAGGAAGTATAATATGTGCTATTATTAAGACAAAAGAACTATTGTCAGTGAATTACATCTTGCATTATTTCTCTGAAAAGGATGAAAATGTGTTCATCCTTATCTTTTTGTATTAAGTTTCATTTTCATTAAAATTATCTCATTGGTGTGTGAGTATGTATGTTAGAGACAGGTGGAGCGAAGGGGTTTGATAATATGCTATGGCATTTGTGATCTTTGAAGTTATATAATTCTTCCTTTGATTACACCTAACAGGGCTCCCACATTTTAATAATAAAACACAGTAAGAAACTAACATAATTGTGTTCTTTCCATAAAGTTGAACTAATTATTTCATCCCATAATATTAATATATATTAGCATTTTAATAGAAAAGCTTCAACTTTAAACAGGGTGGTTTTGTCATTTTTAAATGGAGAAATGTTGCCTACAGAAATATTTAATCATATTTCAGAAGTGAGAATGCACGTTTAAAATAAGTCATTTCCTTTGCTTCAGGGACTTTACAATTTAGTAGATAATGTCAACAAAGTACTTAAGCAGGGTGGATAATAATATCAGTAAGAAGTAAGACATTCTATAGGTAAGTTGACTACCTACTTACTATAATTTGCATTTTAAGCTAACCTATCTTGTTTCTCCTGCATTGGTAGAGTTGTCATCAAGTAACTATTATAATACCATACTGTTGCTACTCTTTGAAGGAATATAGTTGATGATGGAAACCTAAATGTCAATGATTTTTTTAATTAGAAAAATTGAGAAATGTCACTTTTATTATAGCAAAATTTGCTAAAAAATGAATTTTCTAATATAAAAAAATGTGTTATGTGTTTGGTGTCTATTATTCTGTATGCAATATATAACCTGTCCTTTTAAATATGTGTCCTAATAAATTCTTAATAATAATAAAGTAATAATAATAACAGTAATGTCTTAGAACAAGAGTAAAGATGTTATCAAAGAATTTGAATTATATGACAAAGAGAAAAAAATGGTCACATGGCAGGATTGAGAGAAAACAGGTAGATGGCCAGTATCAGTGGAAGAGTGTTCCACTGGTATTCTGAAGAGAAGGCAAGTGAAGATGGTCTCCAAGCATATTGGATAGACCCCTATGGAAAACTTTTGGGAGGACATGGATAAGAGCCACACAAGATGGGCAGACATGGATGAATTAAGATTTACGTCGTTAGAGGGAACTTCCAAACTGATGAGATCAAAAATTCATTAAATATTTGAATGTATGTATTCAACTGTGTCAGGAATAATTCATCATTAGTGCTTAGAGATTTATTTTATAAGATTAATCTTAGAGTCATTACTTTTTTTTCTTCTCTACCTCCTTGTCAGTTTAATGCTTTGTGGATCAACTTGTTCTTGTGACTACCCCACTAAAATTCCTTTCTCTGGCTGTCACACCCCTATATATATATATATATATATATATATATATATATATATATATATATATGTTATATCTCTCCGTTAGAATGCAAATTCATAAAAAGCAGGTACTGTCTCATTTTTTGTATTTACAAACCCAACATTTAGAGCAGTACCTGGCACATTGCAAGCACTTAATAAATGGCTTTTCATTTATTCATTTTTGATTGATTAGATTCCCAATGTAATGTTTTACATATATTAGTTTTAATGTCCAGGCTCTCTCAAAAATAGATTTAATTTTCTAATATCATTTTGCCCTTAGATCATGTTGTAATATTTCATTAGGCAGCTAGGTGGTGCAGTGCATAGAGAACCAGGCCTGTGGTCAGGAAAACGCATCTTCCTGAGTTCAAATCTGGCCTCAGACATTACTAGATATGTGACCATGGTCAATTTACTTAACCCTGTTTTTCTTAGTTTCC